GGTCAATTGCTGGCGGCTGGCATCCCGAATTGGGAGTACCACTCGAAGGCGCGGGCACGTTAACATCTTGTGGTGCCAAAGGTGTCCTAACGCTGCTGCCTGAAGCGCTGAAGTTGTTCGGAGTAGCGCGCGGCGGGGTCATGCCGTCCGCCTCATCCTCCCCGTTCATAAATAGGGACGGCTCCGGGGCTCGGATGAACGGGTACTCAGTCCCCGCAGCAAACTCGTCAACCTCCGACTGGAGTTTCTTCAGGCATGCCTCGTAGTGCAACGCCATGCCTCCATCGTTTGGCAGCCTGTCGGACGGAGCACGGTTCTCAGCCGGGTTGCCGAGAACGATGTCGATCTGCAACAAGGGAGATAAATCAGAAGTGAGTGACATGCTTCTGCAAAAGGTTTCAGATTTGAAGGTTCATTTTTCCAGCGTTCTTTCAATGTTGCAATCAGTGGGGACCTGAAAAACAGCATTGATTTCCGGGTCGAAGAAAGATAATAAGGCAATCACAGCCACAAATCTGGGCACACAATGCATTGCATCCCTGAACCACCTTCTAGACAGTCCAGCCCAATCCGAACACGATCAAAACGTGACAAAGTTCGAGTGCATCGCTGCAGAACACTGACAAGCGGAGGCTCAGTGTGAACATCGTTCCAAGTTGTAAACGGTGAATCTGCATATTGCTTTCCAACTCCGAACCAACCGTAAGGCCATCAAACCACCAGCTCCAAATGAGAAGAAACACGCACGTGCATCAATTGCTTGAATCACGTTTGACTCTTGCTTCAATCGAGCTTTTGCAGTAGTGGATTGTACAGGGCCGTTATCAATGTACAGGCCGCACCACACAAAGCAGACCACATGCAGCCAGGCAGGGGGCAACGGGCTTGACTCCTAAGTGGCAAGTTACGTGAGGCTCTGAGAACGTACCACAGCAACCACAATGGCCGCTTGCTGGATGAACACCTGCAGCTCGTCCACCCGTTCGTTCCAGTTTCGCAGGAAGACATGGCCGATGACCTTCTTCACGCGGATGTCACCAAAGGGGTCCCCATGCCGGACGCGGAAGCCGTTTCCTAAGAAGGAAGCAATTCATGCGGAATCAGAAGCCAACTCTATCACTTCCCTGTCCAGAGCAACGCCCATGTCGAATATCTGTGGCCTCTTCTCATCGCTGTCTTACAAACCACCAAGAACTGCCAGAATACCCAGATTCCTAAAGACATGACCCACTGAAAAGAAAGATCCGAGAAAGGGCCACAGCAAAATCTGATTGACTTGGAAGATTCCACTGCTCATCTCTTTCAGACCAAAGTAGAGAGTCAGAGTATGCCACTCGCGACCAGAGATCATTCAGTACCCTTGGTCGGAAGAGCAGCATTCTGGGTCCTGGACAACTCTGAAATCAACCTCTACAATCTTATATCAAAGAAGACGGACCTGAATTTGAGGATCCGACTTGGCAACCTGACCGAAGCATGGAGATGTGGCGCACAGGACTCTGGCCACCATTTACAAGTCAACAATCTTGAGTGGCCTAGGTTGCTGATCCTTTTCGCCCCCTGTACTTTGTCACCCTTGAAGACTGTAGGTCAGGTCAATGAGAGGAAAGCAAATGTTGATGCTTACCCTGCAGTGGCGCAATGTCAGCCAGGAAGCCATTGTAGTCCACCTTCGCTTTCCGGATCTGGTACACGTCGTAGAGGTGATGTTTCACCTTCTTGACCACCTCGGACCGTTGTTGCATCTGCTTGGTGGAAGCCGCCTGCCACAGGTCGCCGTGATTGGCAACCCAAGCCAGCGACCAGTCGTAGTCGTCCTTCGGAACCTTGAGCAGGACGCGGGTCACCTTGGCGATGGGGTCGATCGTGGTGTAGAAGCCTCCTTCAGGGGAACCGCTCTCAAACACGGCATGGACCGCTTTCCCGATGGTTTTCTGTGGGGCGGCATAAAAAAACACAATCAAGGTCCAATCTCAGAGACAGACAGACTGTAGTCTGACTTGGTCTTACAAGAGGTGCAGAACTCCAATGCATTCAGCAGAGATGTTCACGTGTGTCAGTCTCGCAGAAGGGAAAGCTGGACAGATCACAGAAAAGCACTGTGCACACATCTGTGCTTCTTTTACAAGAAAGCCCAAGCAATATTGCAGAGAGTGTGGACTCCGATAAAGTGGCCTCTAGAGGTTGTACCCAGGTGATACTGAATCTTCTTGGCAATTGTCAACACTGCAATCAAGCTGCTGCAAAAGGATATCTCAACTCATGCTAGCACCTTGGCAATTGTCAATACTGCAATCAAGCTGCTGCAATAGCATACCTCAACTCATGCTAGCACCGTATCCTGAATTGACAATCACTGATGAAGCCAAAATGCAAAAGAACATGCGGTGTCCCTCGAAAGAACAACAACGTACTCTCCTATCCACTGCTAGGCATCAATTGATGATCTGATCCAGTTTCATACAAGCGGGAGTGTCATCTTACGATTGTCTTTGGTGTGCTGTACTTATTAGGAGCTCCGCTGTTGCCGGTGGTTGGTGGGCGAGTGCCAGATGACGCAGCCGCGCTTGCATGTCCGCTCGAAAGGGCCCTTTGCATGGCCTGGGCGACCATGGCCTGGATGGCCGGCAGAAGAGCGGCTGCTCCTCCAGAGGGCAATTGGAAAGCTGCCAGGCTCTGAGCAGGCGCGACGCTCTGTGGGATGCCGAATGGCACCAGAGCTGTCGAGGGAGCATACTGGCTGCTTTGCATTGCCAGCAGCTCCTTCTGCAGCCTGATCTTCTCTTGCATCTGGAGGATCTGGCTGCTGGACGTCACCGCCCCCGCAGCACCGCGGCCGGATGCCTTCCCCTTGGAGACTTTCTTCTTGTTCCCCTTCTTCTTGGAGGTGCCTGCGTAGAGGAGTGCATGTTTGAGAGTGCTTGCTTATACAGCACTTTTACATTGCTTAAAAAGCAGCAGTTCTTGAAAGACAACTGGGAGACTAACACATGCAAATGCATGAGCAGACGCACCGACAAGAAAACAAGCAATTCTACGCTCTGGTACATTGTGGAGTGCATGTTTGAGAGTGCTTGCCTATCCAGTACTTTCACAATGCTTGAAAAGCAGCAGTCCTTAAAGGACAGATGTGAGACTGCACATCTGAATGCATGAGCAGACGCATCGCCAAGAAAACAAGCAATTCTAAGCTCTGCATTCTGGGTGACCAACAGCTTGCTACTTCGACAGAAGCAATAATCTTGGCTCAGCAAAGGCAAATTCTAATGCTAAAAGAGCTGAAAGTGAGGAACATTCTGACTGTAAGTTCGTTCTTGAAGCAAAGGAAAGTTGGGCTTTCTTTCATGCCAGCAACTCGTAATTTGATCACCAAAGACGAAACTGCTTCTGACAAGTTGACAGTTGACTTGCCTGACTTTCCCTTCCGCCCCTTCTTGCCCGCACCGCTATCACCACTGCCACCTGCCAGCACGCTCGCATCTTCACGACGTTGTCCCTTCGCCCTTGCTTCTGCCATCATCTCGTCCAGCGACAGCGGCCTGTCCGCCGAGCTCTTTCCCCTCACACCCGAGTGCTCGCCCTCTTCCTCCTCTCCATCATCGTCCTCCTCTTCCTCGTCGTCCTCTTCATCATCCTCCTCCTCCTCCTCCTCATCATCGTCATCGTCCTCATCGTCATCCTCGTCTCTGCTTCTGGGGGCAGGTCTTTTGCGAACTGGGCTTCCTTCTTGATCATCATCACTGAGATCAAGCTGAACTTTGCGCTTTTTCTTGTTTCCGCCTCGTGCGAGCTGTTCACCAGTATCATACCCTTCATCCTCCAAATGCTTTGGAGGCCTGCGTTCCCTGCCAACCATTCTGGTCACCGCGGAGACGTCGACAAGGTTGAACGGGGGCTGAACACTTAACAGGCAGAGAAGGCAAAAAGCGCCTGCGGTTCTGCCAGTGGTTGATGCCAACGGAACGCAGAGATTGTAGAGAGCGCTTTGGATTTCGAATGTTGCTGGATCTGGAAAACTTTCTGGGCCTGCACTTCCTTTCTACCTACGGTGTTGCACCAGTTTGAACTTTGAATCCAGTCTACCCGCCCTGCCAAAGGCCCGCGCAAAAGAGAAGGAGTTAGAAAGCGGGTGCTGGTTGCGGGACCTCGGCCAGTTCGAGGACAGTGCATTCTCCATGTAGGCAGTTTGACAGTGAATCGACGGCGGAGTCACGGCCCAGGCTCCATTTGAATCTGGAGTCTGGCCAGCAAACGTTTAGCACCGTCGATCGCAAAACCCTCCTCCAATCTACGGTGTCGGTGCAAAATTTTTTAATGCCAAGATCCGATCTGCTAGCTTCTGACGGCCCGCCGCGCGGCCGGCTCACACGCCGCGGCGCGGTGATGGCTCGCGCTAGCGCTAGCTGCATGGCAGACTGCTGATCAGACTGCCTTCCCACTTCAACTTTTTGAAGACCCGAGTCTTGGCGCTGGCAGCAGCCACTGGGAAGGAGCAAGCTGTCTGGTCCTTTCTGTCCCTGTTTTTGACAAGGGGACCCCTTGGCAAAGTCCACTTTAGAATCTGTTGCCATCCAATTGGTTTCTTGGTTATCGTGTGGGTGAAGCAAGTGGCTTTGACGACCACAGCCAAGGACACGCACTGCGGCGGATCTGGGGGGGCTGCTCATCAAAGCTAATAGGCTTTGCTGATGTAGATAGACACAAGCAGTTACCATGTTTAGTTGCACTTGTGGCTCGGCGTTCCCCACGGTGCAGCAGCTCAGCAATCACCGCCGTAGTAGCACACGCTGTGGGACGCAGATTGCGGCCAAGCGGCGAAGACTGGATGCTGGGGCTGCTCAAAATGTTGCTGGGCAGCATTTGAGAACAGGTTTTGCTGCCGGCCAGTGGGGGCCCCCCCCGTTTGCTGTAGGCAGCACAGGCAGGCAGGACAGGGAAGCATCCGAGCGCTTTGCTGATGCGCCGAGCATAATTTCAATTGAGCATGCTTCTCGCTTCGACGACGCGCTTGATGGCTACGAAGACCCGCTGCCAATGTCAGCAGGAGATGGTGCCGTGCCTCTCCAGGACCAGAGTTGTTCATCAGCTCCTGCGCCGACAGCCTTTGATTCAAGCAAAGCTCTCCTTGATTTCCTAACCAATGCCTGCCAAGGCAGAGGTCTTTCCAACTCTGACATCAACTGGTTGTTGGGGATCATTTTCCATCCAGAGTTTGACAGGGCGGAACTGAAATTTGAAAATGCAAAACAGTTCCGTAAATTTCAAGACGGCCTCCAGGCAATCCAGAATGCAATGGCAGCGTTGGAGCTGGATGGCTTGGTACCAGATGAGAAGGTAAGATGCACAATTCCACAAGTCTGCATTGCGCAAGTTCAATGTCTTAGAAGCACGCTGCTTGAAGTGTACTGTTTCAATTGAACGGCCAGAGCACAAAGGCTCAGTGGACAGGTTTGCATACATTTTTGTCATGATGAAACTTGTCTTTCTAGCTTTGCCCCAATACGTGCATCCTGCTCTTGGGCAGGGGTGGTATTCGCGGAACATGCGACGGGAGGGGGATCATCAGGACCTGATATTTCGATGGAGAAATCCTGTCGAGGTGGTCCGTAAGCTTTATGGCGACCATCGCTTCCGGGGGGCTTTCAAAGTATATGCGAGGCCTGTTTACAACAAGGAAGGAGAGAGATGTATCACGGATGCTGCTTCCGCAGATTGGTGGCTCCGCTTGCAGGTACGAGTGTCTAGATGACCTGCCCAGCTGGTTCCATGATGCAAGTGCCTGCAGCCGCTTGCGCTGAACTCTTTCCCAGTCAATGAACTCATAAAATTATCCATACTTCAGCAATCTTGTTGAAAGTCCATTGAGATTCTTGCAAAAACTCTGTGTTTCTTTTGAGCATCTTAGATTTTGGGGTTTGCTGCAAGTTCTCCACTCTTAATGTGCAGGAACGGATTGATGGCGTCGTCGCTGCGGTTGCCATGTACAGTGACCCAACTGCAGTTTCGGGTGACATGAGCGTCACAGGACATCCAATCACTCTCACAGTCAGGAACATTGGTCCGTCAGTGCAGCACCGTGGGGAGCATGCCGTCCTGGTGGGAGTGGTGTCCCAGCTGCAAGAGCATCCAGAACATGGTACGTGTTCAATCTGATGAGATGGCAAATAAAAGAGCTTTGAAATGGCTCTTCTGCTTGATCTTTGCTTGCAGGTCTTCAAGTCCATGTCAAGTTTCAAATCAGACGATGGAAGGGATTGTGCGGTGTGCTCGCTTTGAATGCCTGATACCTTCCTTGCTCCCAGGCTTCATTTCCTCCTCGCGTGCTTTCAAGGAGCGGCGCTTAACCCTCCTGTGGCAGTGCGAAACGCAACTCCAGGCCCTCTTGAAAGCAGCCAGCTCAAGGTTAGCAAACCGATTTACTTCGACCAAGTATTTCTTCCTGGAAGCCATTTCTCAATGATGTGGAAGATGCGAGGAATGTGAGCCTGGCATGGCAAGCTTCTGTGGTGACTGATTCACGTTTAAATTTCGCATTGAGGGTGCGAGCAATTTGAAACTTCTCATATTTGCATAAGTGGTTTATACATGCAGATTCACTCATCAGATTCTTCTTTTGCAGAGGCGTCTTCATGCGAGATCCCTGGGGCGTTCTGCGCAAGGTGTATCCAGGGCTTCATTCTTACAGCTGCGATCTCCAGGAAGCTTACAAGTTGGGAGTCGTCAAATCTGGTCGGTGCCTTGACTGTTTGGTCCCGCCAAGCGAGATGAATGACCTGGAGGGCCGTTGGCCTGAGAGAACGGAGGCCTTCATGGGCAATGTGGTGGCAGCATGTACCGCTGCTCTGGATGAACAAGAGCCCAGGGTTGTTGGCAGGGTCGCTGAAGTGTGCGACGAGGCAGGGATGTCACTGCCCATCGAGGTGCGTTCTCTTTTGCAGGTCTTCCATCTTCACTGTTCGCTTTTGCTGCTCTTCTCATATCACTTTCTGAAGTATTTCAGTCTCCAATTGGTTTTCTCTTCTCTCTAGGTGAAAGCGTCTTGCAGGAGTTCTCTTGATTCAAAACCATGTTCCAAAACGTCTCTTTCTGTTTGAGTTTAAGAATCGTGTGGACCTCTGCTGCCTGCTCAAACAATCCTGGCCTGGAAACCCGGAACTTGAAAGGATCATCTCACGCACCTTGTCATGGAAGTTCCTTTCGATCCGCTGCAAAATTGTACAGGCTAATTGGGGTCTACCTGTAATCGAGCTTGCACCCACGGCTTCTACTGGTGAAAAGATAAGTGGCAAGGAAGGCCAAATCTTAAGCATCATAAATGTCTCTCTTGCAGGGCTGCCTCTGGAACTGGTACGAAGGTTTGGATCTGCCTGAAGATGTGCGAGACTCCTATCGCGCCCTCGTGCCTGACACCCTGCACGGTATCTATCTCGGCATCTGGCTGTACCTGGTCGACGGCATCCGGGACTGGGCCAAGCGGCGCTACTCGGTGCGTTTGGCGGCCAAAAAGGTGCGGACAATCGATGCACGTTTGCGCGAGATGCCTCGCGAATCCGGGTTTCGGCTGCCAAGGCGCAAGGGTGTTTACATGGAGAAGAAGAAGACTTTCAAGGCCTACGAGCAACGGAATATGATGCAGGTACGCCAGATCCTAGCGGCGCCAATTCAGTCTGGTGTTCGCATCCCCTATGTCTGTTCTAAAAGATCAATCTTTTACTTATGTGCCGTAGGATTCTCATTCATCCATGTAGTAGTTGAAATATGCGGATGGACAAAGGCGGATGGTGGAAGACTCTCTCGTAAGCTTGTTATCCTCGTCTCCAGCCAGCCTAGGAACTGAGCTCGTGTCTTCTGTAAAGCCGGGGCCAAAGTCCCCTGATGACTTTAGTTCCAAGCGAGGTCTCACGAGTTTCTTGACAGGTCTTTGTCTTCGCAATCGTCGGCCTGTTCAAGGAGTCGACTGGCCGCGAGCCCTTCGTCGAGCTCATCGTCCTGTTCTTGGACTGGTACATGTCGCTGACGCGACGCAACCGTCCCAAGTACCACACCAAAGCCACCCTTCAAGAGACGGACGAATTGGGTGTGAAGTAAGCTCCGATGCGGTTCAGCTCAATATGCTTCTGGTTGCAATTAACCCTTCTGTTTCCTGAACAACTTAGATACCGCGCTTCCGGCCGCCTTGATCCTCTGCTGACAATATTCATAGCCCAAGCGCTTGCATTCTAGCTTATGTCAGATTAGATTGGTAACAGATTTGTGATGTCTTGTCTTGCGTGTTTGGGGTGAACAAAGTTCCTTGTCGCCCGCAGACTTCGTGTTGAAGTGGAGAATCTTTCTTCAAAGCCGATACCTAACTGTCTCTACCTCTTGAAGATGCAGCTTCTGATGGGTCCGATTGCATTCGAGTTCTCGGATTTCTTGCAGTTCTTATGCATGTCCATCTAGTAACGGGATATAATCATCTGCAGGTTCGGACGCTCCGCCGTTCGGCTTCTGTCGGGCGTCCAGAAGTCGGACTTCAAGACTGCAAAATTCCACCATATCCCCCTCTACACCAAGGTCATCCAGGCCCGGGGCCTCACCTCGGAAACGAGCTGCGAAGAAGGCGAAGGGAGCCACGGCCGCACCTCCAAGAAGGCATATCTTGCCTCCAACAAGAAGGATACGGGAGATCAGGTACGCGCAATCGCCTTGCATAAGCTCGCGCACTCCATGTTACTGCCTCTATCGTCTCTTATGAATCTGTTCCCGCTCAAACTCTCTTTACCAGTTTGGCAGTCCCTTGGCAGAACGTGCGACTAAAGCACGATACGATCCCACGGATACGGTGGCGGGTTTACTGAAACAGATTTGCGCGCCAGCTTGCGGCGACTTGTGTTGCCTGCTCGCATGTTATCAGGCCTTTTCTGAGCGCTCAACGTGTCAACTACAGGTGGACTCGAGCACAGTGGACAGATCTTTTGCTTCCTATTGTGGCTGAAAGCTCTTTCTGTTTGCTTTGGTCGTCACGTGGAGCCCAGTTTCGTAAGCGTCGTTTTGTGGACCCCTTTCAGGTGATGCGCTTCAATCAGCGCCGACAGAACGTGGCCGACTACGTGGGAGGCTGCAACACTGGACGCCGCGGCTTCCGCATTCAGCAACGGGTCAGGGTCGCTGCAGTGGCGACGTCCGAAAAGGTACGACTTAATCCTTGAGAGCAATCTGTCGCGTCGCTATCCTTGGGTGTTGGTCGCACACGATGCGAAACGTGTCTCAGGAAGTCTGTCGCTGCTTTGGGACCCCCAGCCTCCGGAACCCCTTGAAATGATGTAGGATGTCAACTCTTATCTAAACGATTGTATGTGTCATCACGACGCCATGGGTGCGATGTCCCAGCCCTGCCAAGCCTTTGGGTATTTTCGCCTTTCACACTCTTGCGACTGGGCGATTCAGAGGCCTCCGGACACTTCGAATCGTGGTGCTTTCTTTCGTCGCAGGCGGCGCGACAGAAGAAGCACGTCCTGGCAGCCAGCCGAGTGACGCTCCGTTGGGAGTGGCTCCGACCAGCGGGTCAAGCCACGTACCCTCACTTCCCAGCCCCGGGGTCGCGTACGGGTAAGGCAATCATTGAACGGATCGCTCACCAGTACAACGACCTGCAACATCTCGAGCGATGCACGCGCGTCTTCCTTGGCGGCGGCCTTCAGGGGGTGCGGGGTGACGCGGCGTTGTTGGAGAATCTCCCAGACTGCCTCAACTCGGAGGTCAGTCTGGACAACTTTCGCTCTGCGTCAAATTGGTTGTTTTACTCCGATTGCCTGCCTGGTCTTACAAGAGGGTGCGCACTCCTTAACTGCAGCTCAGTTAAGTGGTAATCCAGATTTTGTATCGTCACAGCATCCGTACTATTGCTTCTGTGATTGCTCAAGGTGAGCAATGGACTAAGAGTCCATTCAGCGAAAGTGTGTTGGTGTCATAGCGTCGCTCCTTTTGCAAGAAGCTCATCAGTCTCGGCCCGTGCATATCTCAGTGTTGGTGACAGTGCTTAGACCTTTATGGTCGATCTGGGCCGACTGTCAGCGGGAAGCGTGGTTAATCCAACCTGCACGCCTACCGAAGTCGGAACCAATGTTCTTTCATGTTTTTCATATCCACGAAAGGGCTGACCTACTGTACGCGTTCGTACGTGCCTAGATTTCTGCCTTGTGCGGGCTCTCTCTGGACAACGGCCACTGGTGTGTGTGCCTGATTAACATGCATGTTGCTTGAAAGCCATTTTACGGTTTACAGCCTGGAGGCTGTAACCATACAAGTCTTGGTTCGATCTCGTAAGCCGAACCGGCCTCCTGATGACTGCGCGGCAGTCAGCCTGATCCGCTTCTCATAAAGTTGAGGTAGTTGCTTTGCTTGTGACTACAAGTCGGTGACGTTTCAAAACGCTTTGTCTGCAGATCCGCGTGGCAAAGCACGCTGCCATTGCGCCTGGAAGAGGGCGCCGTTATCAGGAGCACGTCTCTGTCGCGCGCGCCGACCCCAGGTTCCACGGGAAACCGTACTACAGCAACGTTGCCATCCTTGCGGCTGACCAACGGGAGTGGTACGCCAGTGTGAGATTGTTTTTCTCACTGGTAGATCAGGGAGGCCGCACGCGCAATCTTGCGTTGGTCAGGTACCTTGAGGAGTACCGAGTGCCGGACGCCACCACATGCAAGCGACTGAGTTGGGCGAAATACGTTCACAGAGGCCGGCAGGTTGACGAGTGGTATGACGTTGTCGAGTTGAAGAGCATCTTGAGAACGGTCTACCTGGTGAAAGATTGGAACCGGAAGGGAGGCTTCTATTTAAATAGGTTCAAGTGGACGGCAGAAAAGCGTTACAAAGGGAATAAAGTATAACGGGTCAATGAACGAACACGTAGTGGTTGTTTGTATATATCTGTAAATACACGGATCAATCGTTTATTGACCGGATTACTGTTCCGAGAGCGCAAAATTGGCAATCACCGCAATCAACTACTGTATCTGATCAGATTGTGTGCGTTGTTTGAAGTCACTCAATCGCATGCGGCCATGGATGATAGACCCGAAGTTGCATGAGGTTCGTTGCACACAAATCCGCACGCGTTTCACACTCGGCATACATTGTAGCCAAAAGAACGGGAGATTATATATGCAGGCATGCTGTAGTTGCGATCATCACGAGCATGCAGTGTTCCCAGAACTTGAACCGTTATTTCTTCGCTGAATGGATCGGATTGCCCTTAAGCCATCAACTCGTCTTTGCAAGAGATTCGGCGTATGACATGGCGCTCGTGTACAATATACATGAAGGTTCCAAATACTTTTATACGTGTACCATCGAGTTCCTATATAAAACCTAGACGGTCCCAAATCTGTATAGATCTCTAC